AAGTCAGACATTGTCACATGATGTTTCCCTTAACAACCATGTCCCTCAGCCACGCATTTGATTGTCCCAATTATGGTAGATAAGTGAGAACTGGAAGGGGACCGTGGAGGTCTTCTAGTCCAACCACCTGCTCAAGCAGGAGTCCCTATACCATTTCAGAGAGGTGGCTGTCCCGCTTCTCCTTAAAAACCACCAGTGATGAAGCACCCACAACTTCTGAAGGCAAGCTTTTCCAGCGGTTAATTGTTCTCAGTGGGAGGAAGTTTCTGCTTAATTCCTTAAATTTAGATAATTTAATATTTTAAATTTAATTTAAATTTAATTAATTTAATCGTTAATTGAATTAATAATTTTGAAATGTCTAATTTCTAAACTTTATTAATAACTGTAGTAATGTTCAGTAGGGGCATCCACACAGCTGGTGATGTCAGTTGGACTTGAAAAGAGTTGAAGTCCATAACTCTTAACAGTTGTCATGTTGGAGAAATGTTGGCCTAGATTGCTGTTCAGACCTAAGTCAAGAAAAGAAGAAGGAGAAGGAGGAGGAGGAGGAGGAGGAGGAGAAGGAGAAGGAGAAGGAGAAGGAGGAGAAGGGGAAGAAGAGGAAGAAGAAGAAGAAGAAGAAGAAGAAGAAGAAGAAGAAGAAGAAGAAGAAGAAGAAGAAGAAGAAGAAGAAGAAGAAGAAGAAGAAGAAGAAGAAGAAGAAGAAGAAGAGGAGGAGGAGGAGGAGGAGGAGGAGGAGGAGGAGGAGGAGGAGGAAGAAAGACCTACAAATAGAAATAGAAAGACTGTGGCAAAAGCAAGCAAGGGTAGTACCAATAGTAATAGGTGCCTTGGGTGCAATCCCAAAACAACTGGAGCACCACTTGAACACCATTGGCATTGACAAATTCGCCATTAGTCAATTGCAAAAGGGGGCCTTACTAGGAACTGCGACAATATCTGTAATACCATCAAACATTTATTTATTTATTTATCACATTTATACCCCGCCCTTCTCCTGGTGGACTCAGGGTGGCTTACAGCCAGTTTAAAACAAAATAGCTAATACAATATACAAAATTTAAAATGTGGTTAAAATGAAATATTAATATAGGCCTTTTCTTTTTTTAAAAGTTATTTAAAAACCAAATTTAAAATACCCCTTAGGCCAGTCCTGCCAGCTGAAATAGCCATGTCTTGAGGGCGCGGCGGAAGGAGGGGAGATCCGGAATCNGTTGACGGCACCCTGAGGAGACCCTCTCTGTGGGAGCGTATCGGCCGGTGAGAGGTAATCTGTGGCAGAAGGCGGTCTCGGAGGTAACCAGGTCCGATGCCATGGCGCGCTTTAAAGATGATAATCAACACCTTGAAGCGCACCCGGAAGGCCACAGGCAGCCAGTGCAGCTCGCGTAGCAGCGGCGTTACATGGGAGCCTAACCCAGGTCCTTGGTAAGGACTCGATAGGTAGACAAAATGCCAAATCCAGTCTGAACATCTGGCTGACTGTGCGATGATCATAATAATAACAACAACAACAATAATAATGAAGTTGGAAGGGACTTTGGAGGTCATCTAGTCCAACCCCCTGCTCAGGCAAGAAACCCTATACCATTTCAGACAAATGGCTGTCCAGTCTCTTCTTAAAAACTTCCAGTGTTGGAGCATTCACCGCTTCCGGCGGCAGGTTGTTCCACTGGTTAATTGTTGTAACTGTCAGGTTGCTTCTCTCCTTGATTAGTTTCCATCCGTTGCTTCTTGTCCTGCCTTCAGGCGCTTTGGAGAATTTATGGTTGAGAACATATGGCTCATTAAGTATAAGCCTCCTTCTCCAAACTCCATGCAGATGTTGCTGAACCATAACTTCCTTTGTCCACAGCTGGGCAGTGGCCAGATTCTATCTAAAAAGTATAAGGATAGGAAAGTCTTGTAAGAAACCTGGGGATAAAAGAGTTAAGGCTAGTGAATTCTTGAAAAAGGGATTCCTAGAGTGGAAAATGCGGAAGTGAAATCATAGCTTTAAAAAGGAGAACGTAAATAACTGCAGATTCTTTTCCTATTCTCACAGTTTTTCCCCTCCTTCTGGAAACGCATTTTTCATCTTCCTAAGGATTCCAATGCAAATTCCAAAGGGTATTTGCCTTTCTCTGCCACAGTTGCACGGCGTGCATATGCAGGAAGGGAGACCTGCAGGGTGCAGTCAAAATCAAGAAAATTGGGTGAGTTTTTAAAAATGCAGGTAGGTTGGGTGGGAGGCAAGAGAACCTGCTCAGTGTTTTGCATTAAAACAAAAAAGCAGCTACCCAAATCCAGTGACTATTAAATTGTCTTGGTTTTCAACTCCTACAATTTTTAACTAATCCAAGAAAGCATGGCTATTGAGGTCCAATGCAGCAGAAGGGAGCTAGGTTGGGGAAGAAGCAAACTATTGTCCCCAATTCGGATCTGAACCTTGTGTCGAAGCCAAGGATGAACACCAGACACGAGGTGCAGATTTGTTTCCTTTTTTTGAAGCGCTTCAGCAAAAGGGGTCCCAGCCAGCAAAATGCCAGGACCCAGAACAAAGGATTCAACAAGCTTTTATACAGTCTTTCAAGGCGGGGGATAAAGAAACATTATCTATAGGTGTTCTGAAAGTTTTTAAAGGGTCCTCTATTGGCTCCATGCCATCCTTATTTCTAAGTCTTAACTAATAAACACTTCGAAAGTTATCTAATAAGTATTCTATTGGCTCTACTTCAACCCTATTCTTAAAAGTTAATTAATAGGCATCCTAGAAGTCTTTTAGTCAAGTCTTCTATTGGCTCTGTCTTAGCCCTATTCCTTATCTTAGCAATATGTTTTGTGTGTATGTATTTATGTATGCCTGACAGTCAGCTCTTGTTTTCTACTCCCTTTTCCTTTATCTTTGCTATGCAGGCCTTGCAAACACATAGTTCCTCCCTTCCTTCTGAGTTCATGATCAGAGACAGGAAGGACCCGCGTGAGAAAAGCACATCTTCCTTCCCCTGTCCTTACCACTTTCTACAGGGGGACGAGCGAGAGCATCCTGTCATACAGCATCACAGTCTGGTTTGGAAGCATCACTGCTTCAGACAGGAAGGCAATGTAGAGAGTGGTGAGGATGGCCGAAAAGATCATTGGCAGTGCCCTCCCTTCCATCCAGGACATGGCATATAAGAGTTTCTTGAGCAGGGTCCGCAAGATTGTCTGGGACACTACACATCCTCTTCACGACCTGTTTTCTTTGTTACCTTCAGGGAGGAGGCTTTGTGGAATCCGAAGCAGAACATCCAGATTCAGTCACAGTTTTGTTCCATACAGTATTAACCTTGTGAACTCTAAAACTTCCTCCTTCCGTTATGTATTCAAGATGACAGTGATTAATATTTATAGGTTACTTATATGTAAGGGTGTAGGTCTATACATATATTGTATATAGTATGTTTTAAATGTGTGTTATGCATGTGTACACTTTGAGAGGAAGCAACTAAATTTCATTTTTAATGTGTGCTATGGTGCCCACAGTAAAAAATAACAATAAAGGTTGTCTGTCTGTCTGTCTATATCTATCTATCTGTCTGTCTGTCTGTCTGTCTGTCTATCTATCTATCTATCTATCTATCTATCTATCTATCTATCTATCTATCTATCTATCTATCTATCTATCTATCTATCTATCTATCCTTCTCCCTGACATGTGGCTTTTTAATGTGATAAAGCCCTGACATGTGGCTTTTTTACAGGCAGGTGTGCTCAGGAGCATTCAGTAATTTTATTTATTAAATTTAATAGCTGTACCCGGCCACATGTTGCTGTGGCTCAGTCTGGTTAAATGGAAAAGAAAGAAAAGAGAAAGCGACGTTTGTAATATGTTTAATTTCACAATGCTTGTGTCCAACAGATGGCGCTGTTTTTCAAAAAAAGCACGTTTTTACCTGTCACAGGTGTGACATCTATATAATAGTAGGTAGTAGGTATATAAAAACACGCGCGTATTCGAATGCAACATTGTGTCAAAATTTCAAAGCAATTGGTGAAGAACTTTCGGAGATTTAAGATTTTGAACAAACGAACATTTACATTTTTATTTATATAGATTTTCTGCCCAGTATTTTTTTCCCCTTCCAGCGAGTGTAACTAAAATTTGAACTAGTTTGAACAAACAACCTGACTTAGGACCAGGTGGCTCATTTGCCATCATACACACACATGAAAGAAGATAATAGTTGTAAACATGAGAACATCTTAGGAGAACCAATTAAAGGTCTCCCCTTATTGTCAGTTAAGGAGACATGGATGAGGCCATAACCTGTCTCCCACACTTAAGAATCTTTAATCCAGCAATTCATAAAACTTCTTCCCTCATGGCATTTTAAAGATGATTAAGAAAGGTTCCATTCCACTGAATCCTTGGTCCTCATTGATTGTTAGTGGCATCCATGTAAAACATCTAAAACCTACAAAATAAAGGGCTAAAATAAACATGTGCTTGTTAGTGTCATGAGTTGGTCCCGAGGCAACTTAGCTATTGCACCACAATTACTGTTGTATTGTGACTATTATATATATACATTCGTTTTGCATAGGCCAGTTTCTCAACCTTGACAACTTTTAAGATTTGTGGACTCTAACTCCCAGAATTCCCCAGTCAGCAAGCTTTATAGCACAGTTTTCTTTATTAGCAGCCCAGAGGTATTTAAGATGGGCAGCCATACAAATGCTCTAAACCAGGGGTCCCCAACCTTGGCAACTTTTAAGACTTGTGGACTTCAACTCCCAGAATTCCTCAGCCAGCCAAGCTGGCTGAGGAATTCTGGGAGTTGAAGTCCACAAGTCTTAAAGTTGCCAAGTTTCGAGGCCTCTGTTCTAAACCAAGAAATAAAGATATGTTGGGGTCATTGGGAAGCTTTTGGTTTTCCAGCTCATCGTGGGCAGGATTTTTCCCATGTGCTTTTGTCAACTTTCTCTTGTGTGTCTTCTTTCTCCTTCTGCAGAGAAGCTCCATTCCCATCTTGGAAATGGAAGATCCAGTGATCGTCCTCAAAATGGCAGGAGGGTCAGGCAAGGTGGGGGAAAACCATCATCTGCTGCCAACCGGAAGCACTGGGAGATTCCCACAAAGGCTGCCACCACAGAAGACGGTTAAACAGGAACCAGATGAAGTGGTCCTTCCTTATTGGGACACCCAGTGGCAGCACTTTCTGCAAGAAACGGGGTCTCCTTGCTCAGGATGGGAGTCTCCTCAGCTGCCCCGGGATCCCAGCCTGTGGGATGATGCCAAGGGCTTCCTGGCCTCCTTTGAGCAAGTGGCCAAAGCCTGCCGGTGGCCAAAACACGAGTGGGTAGCCCGACTCCTGCCCTCCCTCAGCGGGCAAGCTGAATGGGCCTTTAGTGGCCTGGAGGCCAGAGAGCAAGAGGACTATGGGAAAGTGAAGGCGGCCATCTTGCGGGGAAGCGCCCTCAGCCGGGAAAAGCAGCGCCAGCACTTCCGCCGTTTCTGCTACCAGGAGGCCGAGGGCCCACGGCGGGTTTGCCGCCATCTTCAGGAGCTTTGCCACCGGTGGTTGAAGGTGGAGAAACACTCCAAGGAGCAGATTCTGGAGTTGTTGATCCTGGAGCAGTTCTTGACTATCCTGCCAGAAGAAATTCAGAGCTGGGTTAGAGCCCGGGGCCCCGATACCTGCTCCCAGGCGGTAGCCCTGGCCGAGGATTTTCTGCAGAGGCAGCAAGGAATGGAGAAGTGGGAGCGGCAGGTGAGGAGAACAGATCCTGATTATATCTGTGAGCATAAAGTTAGCGGTGGAGACGCAGCACGTCTCAAAGGAAGAAATGTGAAGCATCGCTGTCCATTTCCAATGTGCGTGGGGTTTAATGTTCACCAGACTTTAATAGTCACCTACATTGCATGCATGCATATAGCACCTTATTTTTGTATATGCTCTGGTAGGTAATAATAATAATAATAGTAAAGTTGGAAGGGACCTTGGAGGTCATCTAGTCCAACCCCCTGCTCAGGCAGGAAACCCTATACCATTTCGGACAGATGGCTGTCCAGTCTCTTCTTTAAAAACCTGTTAACTAGTGGATCTGTTAACTAGTGGTACTGTTAACTAATGGATCTGAGGTACTATATACCAGCCACTGAGAAACTCACTAGATTAGAGAAACTTATCAATTGTTTGTGGCTGAAATAGCTCTAAGATTCTGGTATGTTTTGACTATACCAGATAGATAGAAGACAGAAATTTTTTAATGTATTTGTATTGCACCTTTATTGTTTTTACAAGTAACTCAAGGCAACGAATGTATCCTCCTCCTATTTTATCCACAAACAACAACCCTGTGTGGTGGGTTAGGCTAAGAAAGAGTGACTGGCCTAAAGTCACCTGGCTGGCTTTCATAGCTAAGGTGGGACTTGAACTCTCAGTGTCCTGCTTTCCATCCTATCACATTATCTATCTATCTATCTGTCTGTCTGTCTGTCTATTTCCATCTATCATAATTCTATCTCTATCTGTCATCTATTCTATTCTATTCTATTCTATTCTATTCTATTCTATTGTCTATCTATCTATCTATCTATCTATCTATCTATCTATCTGTCTGTCTGTCTGTCTGTCTGTCTGTCTGTCTGTCTGTCTGTCTGTCTATCTATCTTGCCATGAAGTCGTTTTCAACTCCTAGCAGCCATAGATAGATTGTTTATGCGACTCGATAGAGACAAACAATAAGTATAGTCAGCCTTCAACGTACAACTGCAATTGAGCCTGGCAATTACAGTCATATATTGTGACGGTCATAAAGTGAGTCATCACATGATCATTTTATGACCTTTTTGGTGATGTTTGTAAAGCAAGCTCATTGTTTTGAGCTGTTTTGTTGCCAGAAACAGGAAGTAAAGCCCAGTTTCCAGAAAAACCATCGTAAATCGCAGTCACTGCACTGCAAATGGCCATAAGTGCAGGCTTTTGCCGAGTGCCTAAAATGTAGTCGCATGGCTATAGCGGAGCCTGGATGTCAGAAATTCAAAAGCATGTCGTAAATAGCTTTTGGGGTATTCCGTTGTAACTTTGAATAGGTGCTTACTGACTGGGTTGAAAGAGTAGAGTAGAGTAGAGAATAGAATAGAATAGAATAGAATAGAATAGAATAGAATAGAATAGAATAGAATAGAATAGAATAGAATAGAATAGAATAGAATAGAATTTGAAGGGGCAGTCCAGCCCCCTGCTCAAACAGGAGAACCTATACCGTCTCAGTCAGGTGAATGTCCAGTCTCTTCTTTAAAATCTCCAGTGATGGAGGGCCCACGATTTTTGGAGGCAAAGTTGTTCCACTGGTTGATTGTCCTCATTGTCAGGAAGTTTCTCCTTAATTCCAGGTTGCTTCTCTCTTTGATCAGTTTCCATCCATTGTTTCTCGTCCTTCCCTCTGGTGCTTTGGTGAACAACCTGACCTCCTCTAGGCAGCCCCTCAAATACTGGAATACTGCTATCACATCTCCCCTGTTTCTTCTTTTCTTTAGAATAGCCAAACCCAAAGTCCCTTAGCCATTCTTCGTATGTTTTAGTCTCCAGGCCTTTGATCATCTTAATTGCTCTTCTCTGAATTTTTTCCAAACTCTCAACATCTGTTTTGTGATATGGTGAACAAAATTGGCTGCAGTATTCCAGGTGTGTTCTTACTAGGGATTTTATAAAGCGGTAATATTACTTCGTGTGATCTTGATTCTATGCCTCTGTTTATGCAACCCAGGATTGCATTAGCTTTAGTTGTTGTTTACTTGTAAGCCGCAGATTTTAAGCCTAAGTATCAAAGTATCCAAAGGTCCCTATTGTTGCCCAGAGTTACCCTGTGTGGTGAAATGGGTGGCCAATAAATTTGATTGATAAAAAATAAGTAAGTAAGGTACTGGTCCGTGACCATAATAAAGATTGTTGTTGTTATAAATAAATAAATATTTCCAACAGCTCATTTACTGATCGTTCAAAGTTACAACAGCACTGAAAAAAGCGACTTATGACCGTTTTTCACACGACCATTGCAGCATCCCTGTGGTCACATCAGCAAAATTCAGACACTTGGCAACCGGTTTGTATTATTATTATTATTAATAATAATATTAATATTAAAGTTGGAAGGGACCTTGGAGGTCATCGAGTCCAACCCCCTGCTCAGGCAGGAACCCTACACCATTTCAGACAAATGGCTGTCCAGTCTCTTCTTAAAAACTTCCAGTGTTGGAGCATTCACCACTTCTGGAGGCAGGTTGTTCCATTGGTTAATTGTTCTAACTGTCAGGAAGTTTCTTCTTAGTTCTAAGTTGCTTCTCTCCTTGATCACTTTCCACCCTTTGCTTCTCGTCCTGCCTTCAGGCGCTTTGGAGAATAGCTTGATTCCCTCTTCTTTGTGGCAGCCCCTGAGATATTGGAACACTGCTATCATGTCCCCCCCTCGTCCTTCTCTTCGTTAAACTAGACATACCCAATTCCAGCAACCGTTCCTTATATGTTTTAGCCTCCAGTCCCCTAATCATCTTTGTTGCTCTTCTCTGTACTCTTTCTAGAGTCTCAGCATCTTTTTTACATCGTGGTGACCAAAACTGGATGCAGTATTCCAAGTGTGGCCTTACCAAGGCATTGTAAAGTGGTATTAATACTTCACGTGATCTTGATTCTATCCCTCTGTTAATGCAGCCCAGCACTGTGTTGGCTTTTTTGGCAGTTGCAGCACACGGCTGGCTCATATTTAAGTGATTGTCCACTAGGACTCCGAGATTGAAGGGTCCTTGGTGCTTTCTGATCTTGGTTGTTTTCTCGCAGACCTTTCGTTACCCAAACTAGGTAACATCATCAGTGCTAGTCACTGATGATGATGTGTGAACTTCAGCTCCCAGAATTCCGGTACTGGTCCAAGGACCGGGGGTTGGGGACCCCGGATTAAGGTTTAATCTCCTTCAGCTAGTTAAATGGATTTCCATTAAATGTTTCAGGATGCCGTGCCATGCGAGGAAGTAGCACTTGGTTTTTCAGGAGCAAAACAAGCTTTCCAACATCCGGGTCAGAGCCAGCTGCACGGAGAACCCAAAGGAGAAAGCGACGGTGACAATAGTCTCCCAGGTACTGTCTGCACCCCACAACCTTAAAATCTCTCAATTTTAAGTTTTGTTCCTCTCCTTTCCACGCCTGTTTTAAGGCAAGTTTTTCTTGTAAATGTTTCCACAGTGGTTTAGATGCGATTTGAGTGTTTTTATAGGACCCCAGGCAATCCATGTCCTGTTGGGACACCACTTCAAAGAAAGAGGCAGTCCTCGACTTAACGACCGCAATTGAGGCCAAAATTTCCACTGCTAAGCGAGACAGTTGCTAAGTGAATTTTGCCCCATTTTTACGACCTCTTTTTGCCACAGTTGTTAAGTGAATCACTGCAGTTGTTAGTAGCCCAGTTGTTAAGTGAATCTGGCTTCCTCACTGACTTTGCTTGTCAGAAGGTCGCAAAAGGAAATCACAAGACAGATAGACAGACACACACACACACACACACACACACACACCGGGACACTTTAACTGTCATAAATATGAGTCAGTTGCCAAGTGTCTGGATTTTGATCATGTGACCACAGGGGTGCTGTGACAGTTGTAAATGTGAAAAACTGTCACAAGTCACTTTTTTCAGGACCGTTGTAACTTCAAACAGTCACTAAGTGAACTGTTGTAAGTTGAAGACTATTTGTACAGTGCTGGGCTGCATTAACAGAGGGATGGAATCAAGATCACGTGAAGTATTAATACCACTTTACAATGCCTTGGTAAGGCCACACTTGGAATACTGCATCCAGTTTTGGTCACCACGATGTAAAACAGATGTTGAGACTCTAGAAAGAGTACAGAGAAGAGCAACAAAGATGATTAGGGGACTGGAGGCTGAAGCATATAAGGAAAGGTTGATGGAATTGGGTATGTCTAGTTTAATGAAGAGAAGGACAAGGGGGGACATGATAGCAGTGTTCCAATATCTCAAGGGCTGCCACAAAGAAGAGGGAGTCAAGCTATTCTCCAAGGCGCCTGAAGGCAGGACAAGAAGCAACAGATGGAAACTGATCAAGGAGAGAAGCAACCTAAAACTAAGGAGAAACTTCCTGACAGTGAGAACAATTAACCAGTGGAACAACCTGCCTCAAGAAGCGGTGAATGCTCCAACACTGGAAGTTTTTAAGAAGAGACTGTACAGCCATTTGTCTGAAATGGTGTAGGGTTCCTGCCTGAGCAGCGGGTTGGACTCGATGACCTCCAAGGTCCCTTCCAACTTTATCATTATTATTATTATTAGCAGTGTGAAAAAACAATCCCTGCAAAAGACCTATTTATAGAAAAACAGTATTATTATTATTATTATTATTATTATTATTATTATTATTATTATTATTATTATTATTATTATTATTATTATTATTATTATTATTTTCTAACCAAGAAATTATATTAAGCTTCTGTGAAATGAACTGAAACAAAATGAATTTCGGCTCACAGAAACCTCTGCCTTGTAATATATAATTTCTCGGAGAGAAAAGACGCCCCTGAATTCTGCATCGAAAAGCTAAGATTTCCTTATGGCCGGAAGCAGCGTGAAGACATGAAATAAACATTTGTGTTCTTTTCTCATTCCAACAGAGTACGGACCTGCGAATTGTCGGAAGGAGAGAAGCCGTTTGCAGGAAGGAGCGGAAGAAGGGGATCTGTGCTGGATCCCTCAAAGACGATTCACGGAGAACTTTTCCCGTGTCCCCGAGGAACGGAAACTCTTCCAGAATCAGGCATGGCCAAAGCTTCAGCAAGGAATCCATACACGGAACAAAGCAGCCATGTCCATCGCTTCGGTCATCAATAGGAAGATCTTGAGCAAACCTCTGTTATTCCAGACCCAGAACTCAAGCATCCCATCTGGGGTGGACTTGAGACAGGAACCAAGCAATACTATCCCGATTCCCGAGAGACCTTATCACAAGTGTTCAATCTGCGGGAAGACCTTTGGTCAAAGCTTGCATCTGAATTTCCACCAGAGGACCCACGACGTAGAGAAGCCCTACAAGTGCGCCCAGTGTGGGAGCAGTTTCCACTCGCGCCAAGGTCTCATCTACCACCAGCGCAGCCATGCCGGCGAGAAGCCGTACAAATGCTCCTTCTGCGGGAAAAACTTCAGCCAGAGTTCTCACCTCCTGGTGCATAAGAGGAGCCACACGGGCGAAAAACCCTTCAGGTGTCCCACCTGTGGGAAATGCTTCAGCCGCAACTCCCTTCTGACCATCCACGAAAGGACCCACACGGGAGAGAAGCCGTACAAATGCTTGCAGTGCGGCAGCCAGTTCCATTCAGGTTCAGGGCTGATTAACCACAAAAGGATTCACACAGGAGTGAAACCGTATAAGTGCCCTAAGTGTGGGAGAGATTTCATCCGGAAGGCACACCTCACTCGGCACCAGAGCATACACAGCGATGACAAGGACAGCACGTGACCTGGCTCGTGGGGGACCAGGGGGGAAAAGCTCCTTCAAAAACTCACTGCTTGTGTTAGATCACAAGAACAAACACAATGTGATGACCCAGGGCCCCGAACGGAGGCAAAGCAATTAGCTGGTCAGAATAATTGTCTTTTTAAGCACTGCCAACGTTCACCCAACAGCCCTCACATATGCTGGCACAAGTTCAATAAAGCAGTCAACGGAGTTCAACAGTTCTTTAAAGGAAAACAGATAACTAACAAAGTACGATCTTTACAACAGGCCCAGCTTGCCTGTAATATGCAAACTGCAAAACTGAAGACAGCAAGGAAAACTCAGCAGGAAACAAACTTGATCCAAAATACAAAGAGTCCAGGTCACATCACATCACATTTGGGAAATGTAAATCTAGGTGGGGAGATGTATCAGAAAACATTCACATCAATATTAGCCGTGTTTCCCACCTCCTCCAATAGAAGAATTGCTTGGTAGCACCAGCACGTGAAAGAAATGGTCACAAACCTTGAGAATGAGGTAGCGAAAACAGAAACTTTCATAATAATAGGAACATTTTGAGATATTGCAAGGTGCAACGTTAGAAGAAGTTCCAAGAGTGTTTCGCAAGCTCAGTGACTGGCTGGGGAATTCTGGGAGTTGAAGTCCACACATCTTAAAGTCACTGAGTTTGAGAAATACTGTCTTACACCAACTACTCAGAACAGTGTTTTTTATGGCTGGGGAGTTCAAGAGCACACATATTAATACTGCCACACTGGAAAAACATTTTGCATCCCAACCACAAAATGCTTGAAAGTTGAATTGTTCAGTGATATGCTGTCAACTTAGGGGTATCTATAGGGAATGGACAAAAAAGTGAGGATGAT